CACCCTTCATAGGTGAAACCCGGATGCAACATCACGAACTTTACGGTTAACATAACTCTTTTTCCTAGACTGAGCTGTGCAAAATCTTGATACATTTTGGCGGCACCTTGATGAATGGAATACCGGGAACTGTGGGCCTCTTCAAGAATTAATTCACGAAGCCCATCCACATTAGGCACACAAACATGACCCTGCATCCGCTGAACTCCATCTTCACCCACAACAACCTGCTTGGCACCACCGTGCAGCACCGTGTCCTTAAGGATAAGTAAATGAGGATCATCATACTGTCGTTCTCTGATACGCTCATATAAGGAAGATCGAGCGACTGTGCAAGCTAGAACCCGACTGGGCTCTGAAATATCTACCCTCACGAACTGATTGGCCAAAGTCTGAATATCTGCAACTAACGACCTCTCACCAATCGAAATATACGCAAGGCTGCCCATACTCATAACCTTTCTACTCAAAGCATCGACCACCACATAGGCTTTTATGGGGTGATACAGAATGCTTATATCATAGTCTTTCAACAGCTCCAACTATTTTTTCTGCCTCAAATTGAGATCATTTTGTTTGAACAGATACTGTAGGCTACGATGATCAGTAAATACCTCACACGAGACACCATAAAGGTAATGCCTCCAAATCTTCAGCGCATGAACAATGATTTCCAATTCTAAGTCATGAACAGGATAATTCTTCTCGTGAACCTTCAATTTCCCCGACGCATATGCAATCACCCTGCCATCTTGCATCAATACTACACCAAGCCCGACGCGAAATGCATCACAATACACCGTATAAGATACTGAACCTGTGGGTAATACCAACACTGGTGTCGTAGTCAAAATAGTCTTGAGCTTCTGAAAGCTCAATTCACACTCGTCTGACTATCTGAATGGGGCACCCTTCTGGGTCAATATGGTCAGTGGGGATGCTATGGATGAAAATCCCTTCACAAACCGGCGATAATAACCTGCCAAACCAAGGAAACTTCGGATCTCTGTAGCTGAAGTAGGTCTAGGCCAATTCTGAACTACCTCGGTCTTCTTAGGATCCACTTTTATGCCTTCTGCCGATACAACATGCCCCAAAAAGGCAACTAAGACTAACCAAAATATGCATTTTGAAAATTTGGCATATAACTGATTATTCTTCAAATTCTGAAGCACAATCCAAAGATGTTGCTCATGCTCCTCTCGACTGCTGGAGTAAATCAAGATATCATCAATGAATACAACCACAAAAGAATCCAAATAAGGCTTGAATACTCGATTCATTAAACCCATGAATGTTGCTGGGGCATTTGTTAGCCGAAATGACATACACTAGGAATTTGTAATGCCCATATCGAGTTCGAAAAGCTGTCTTAGGGACATTGGATGCCCTAATCTTCAACTAATGGTAACCAGACTTCAAATCTATCTTTGAAAACACCTTGGCACCCTGAAGCTAATCGAATAAGTCCTCAATTCTCGGCAACAAATACTTGTTCTTAATAGTAACCTTGTTCAACTGCCGATAATCTATACACATTCTCATCGACCCATCTTTCTTCTTCACGAATAATACGGGCACACCCCAGGGCGAGACACCAGGTCTAACGAAGCCTTTATCAAGCAATTCTTGTAATTGTTCTTTTAATTCCTTCAACTACAGCGAGGCCATACAGTATGGTGGAATAGACTCCCAATAGTAACCACACATGAACGATAGACATGATCTACCATAACAGAATCTCCCACCGGTGTGGACACACACATAGAAGCACTCAGAGAATCACGAGGCACAACCAGATATGAAGCAAAGTAGGAGGACACATAGGGAAAAATAGATCCTAAATCAAATAGAACCGAAGCATTTCTATGGTAAACTGGAACAATACCTGCGATCACGACATCAGATGACTCGGCCTCAGGCATAGCTGGAAAAGCATAAAATCGGGGCTGGGCCTCACCACTCTAAGTTGCGTCCCTAGGACGACCTCTAACCGGCTAGCCTCCACCTCTAACGACCTGACCTCCACCTCTAGCTGTCTGACTCCTGCCCCTAGCTGGCTGGACAGGTGGCGGAATAGTTGGAGCTAGAATCATAACACGAGAACCCTGATGCTGCATGCTGCCCTGAGACCTGGGGCAAAATCTAGCAATGTGCCTTGGATCACCATAAGTATAATAGGTTCTCGGATGTTGTGACTGCTGACCCTGGAACTGGCCATGTCGACCTGGATAACCACCCCGATGACTCCGGATCGGAGGTGCACTAATAGGAGCTGGTGGTGCACTGTAAGCTAGCTGGTCAGAATGAGGCATATGAGGGCCGGGACCACCTGAAGCACTATGGGATACCTGGAGCGCTAAATGAAAAGGCCTGGGAGGATGGCCTCTACCAAAATTACCCCTGCCTCAAGACGAGGCACCACTGAACCCACCGAACTGACAAGGCCTCTTATCATACCCCTGCCCTCTTTCCTGTGCAAGAACTATCTCGATCCTCCTAGCAACATTAGCAGCTGCCTGAAAGGGAATCTCACTTCCGGTTTTCCTGGCCATCTGAAGCCTGATAGGGTGAGTGAGTCCATCAATAAACCTCCTCACTCTCTCTCCCTCAGTAGGAAGTAAAAGGAGATCATGACGGGCTAGATCAACAAAACGGGTCTCGTACTGAGTAACAGTCATATTGCCCTGTTGGAGACGCTCAAATTGTCTGTGATAATCCTTTCTCAATGTGATAGAGAAGAACTTCTCTAGAAGTAGCCGTGAGAAATGCTCCCAAGTCAGTGTAGGTGACCCAACTAGTCTGGTCAACATACAATTTCTCCACCGCCTCTTGGCGGAACCCGTCATATGAAATACAACAAAATCGACCCTATTGGTCTCGACTATACCCATATTCCGCAACACCTCATGGCAGCGATCAAGATAATCTTGTGGGTCCTCAGAAGGTAGACCACTGAAGTAAATTGGAAAGAGCTTAGTAAACGTGTCCAGCCTCAATAAATCCTCAGAAGACATGACAGGTCTATCACTGGCTTGTGCCGCAACAACTAGCTGAACTACCCCAACTGGTAGGGCTGCTAGCTAGAGCTTGATACTGGGGAGCCATCTGCTCTGGAGCGAGAGTAGTGGGAGTTTGTGCTCCTCCTCCAGCTTGTGAGACGGCTGGTGCCACTGGAAATGTAACATTCTGGGCCACACCCTCCACAAGGCTCACCAAACGGACTAGAGCGCCCTGAGGCATTGGAGTAGCTAGGAATCCTTCTAGGACCTGAACTGGTCCAACGGGTACCGTCTGAACTGGAACCTCCTCCTAAAGATCCATGTGAGGCTCCACTGCGGGTACTGCTGCTCGAGCTCTAGATTGAGCTCTGCATCGGCCTCTGGCATGACCTCGGCCTTGGCCTCTACCCCTGGTCATAGTTGCCACCGGGGGTTCTGGTCCTTGTATGTCGGTAGATGTATTACGTATTCTCACCATCTGCGAGAGAATAAGAATATAATGGTCAATCATTGGTGATAGAAATAGACTCGCACAACAGAATAAGAAAGAAGTGATATTGTTCCTAAACTTCATAGCCTCTGAAAGATAAGTACATATGTCTCCGTACCGATCCTTCAGACTCTACTAAGCTTGCTCGTGACTCATGAGACCAAAGTAACCTAGTGCTCTGATACCAATTTGTCACAACCCGAAATTTCCACCTTCGGGACCGTGATTGCGCTTAACATTTCCCTTGCTAGGCAAGTCAACGTTAGAATAATCTTAACCGTTTTTAAACAAATTAAATTAAACGGAAGTCAATTACTGAAATAAAGTGCGGAAGACCATAACTACCGAATCATCAAAATATATCCTTGAATCTGGTGTCACAAGTGCACGAACTACTAGAATAATACAAAAAAAGGTTTGAATAAAATTCAAGCTGTTTGAAAGATAATACACAACTAAGATAAGATAGAAGGGGATTTCAGAACTGCGGATGCTGTGCAGTTATACCTCAAGTCTCCTATGGGTAGCTGAATCCGAGCAAGTCTATGGTACGCCGCTGGGACCAACTCCAAAATCTTCACAAGAAGTGCAAAGTGTAGTATGAGTACAACCGACCCCATGTACTCCGTAAGTGTCGAGCCTAACCTCAACGAAGTAGTGATGAGGCTATGACAAGACACGTACGTAAAAAACTTGTACACGTATATACAAATACGAAGCAACAATAGCACAATAAATAACAATTTATAAATTTAGGAGTGAACATGCGAAGAGGAATGATATAGAAATTTCAGCAGGAGAAATGTCATGTAGCATCCAATTAATTCATCAACAAAAAAATGAGTAGCTAAAAATATGAAATGGAATGGCACCACCCTTCGGGCTTTCACTCTTATCCTTCCCAAAAATTTATAAATAAATAATAAGATTGGCACGACATCACTCTTCGTGCTTTAACTCTCTTCTGGCACGACATCACCCTTCGTGCTTTAACTCTCTTCTGGCACGACATCACCCTTCATGCTTTTACACTCTTTCTCACCATGACAAGGATAATATAAATAATATAAATGGCACGGCATCACCCTTCGTGCTTTTACACTCTTCCTTACCATGAAAATAATAATATAAATTCGAAAGAGTATTTAAATGCGGGGATATATACTTATCAATCAATTCAATACCAGAATACCGACCTCATCTTCCAAAATATTCGACAATAATTAAACTAGTAATGATCTCATGAAAAATGATCAAATAAACAATAATAACTTAACCAGGAATATCTTAATTAAATAGGCAATTATTCACAACAAGTAGAGGACCTAGCATCAACATAAATAAGGTATTAGGATTTGATCAAGATAGCTTGCAGTTTTTTATCCTGCAATTGATGATAGTAATTGTAACAGCTGTATGGAAGGATTTAAGGGGGGTCTTTGAGTTCAATTGAACTTGCGGTTTCGGCTCATACTATGTATATACTTATTCATAAATAAAATTTGAAATGTATTTAAATCCACTAACTCTAAATATTAATTTCATCTCTGGATACATGTAAATAAAACTAATCTAAATTTTCTAAAAGATAAATGAAAATATACATTCACAAAGTATCAAACTAAATAGTGGACCTTCTTGTTCTCATATTGTAAGGGGGACAAGGCTATAAATATACTGAAATTTGGACCACAATCACGTCTGGAGTTGCTACACATTAGTCTCTCTCTCTCTCTCTCTCTCTCTCTCTCTCTCTCTCTCTCTGTGCGAGCGCGTGTTCCCATACAACTGGGCAGCAATGCTATGAAGCATTAGAATTCAACTCGTAATACTACAGTTTGAATGCGACTCTCTTGACGATAGTAATATTTCCTTGGTATGTGTTGACATTCCTGAGGAACCTGAGAAGACAAGTCTCATGGCATTCAATGCTTTTGAACCAATTAACCTTCAAAAGACCAAAAAGTTCAAGTGACAGTATGCACCTCATCTTAAAGCTCAGAGGAACTTAAGGTACCTGTTGAAGTCCCACAGCAAGTCACATGGTACAATATTTGGATCCACTCTTCTATCTCACAGCTAAAATAATGTTTGAAACATGAACACTTATATTAGAGGATTTAACGGCCAAAAATTACCATTTGCCACGGTATCCTAGATCGGTTTGGTTAATTTCTAAACAAGATGGATTGAACTCAGAATTCATTAGATGCTTTTTATGAATGTCAACTAAGTAAAGTATAAGTGAATTGCTCCCGTTGTTTAATCATTTGATAACCAAAGCCATTCTTTGATATATGATCAGTATGAGTCAGAATCAAGAGAATTTGATCAATCAAATATTTTGTCGTTAAGGCGGAGAAAAAGATGGAAAGAAGAGTACGAGGGGTAGAGGCTCACCGACAATAAGAAGAACTCACATTCTCGTCCTAATAGATGTGTTCCATTTTGTCGAGGCTAGCTTGTCTTCACTCACTCCAGAGAATGAAAAAGAAAATAAGAAAGGAGTGCATCATCCTTTTTTCCTCCGCCTTACTCTTGTAATTGACTCTTTTTTTTGCTATGCCTATCCATCCATCAGTGACATCCAGTCGGATGAGCGATAGCAACTCCTTTTACGAATAGATCTGCCGCCACAAATCTATACTATATTAAAAGCACGAAGGTACCTAACGAAATGTCGTTTGCCTTTTATACCCTTTTACAACTATATTGGGGAGCAAGTAATGATGAAGTTAACTCTAAAGTAAAAAAAGGAAGAGACAAAGAATTTGATAAAGATATCAGAAAACAAAAATGCAAACTTTTCCATAACATAAACGCAAGAAACGTCCTTGTTTAGATTAATTAAGTGTCAAACTTGGTATTGAAAGTAGTAATGGAAAGACAACGTATACCTGGGCTAACAATGAGTCTAATAATAAGTCGCAGTCTTTGATTAATCAGCCGTTTCAGTGTGGGCTGGGTTGTGTCCGTTCTCTTTTATTCCCTCTAGTTGTTTTTCTTCTTCATTTGTAAATGCTACATATTATGGTGTTTCTTTTCCTTTTACATATGGCAATTGAGGTTGGTGGGGGAAATTTGCAAATTATATCAAAATAAGTAAATACTAGTATATCATTTTAAACAACCATTGCTTGCAAGGAATAGAAATTCAACTAAATAGCATTGTAGCAGATGCAAGTAGAGATGAAGCATAATGAATAGGGACAGAATGTAAGCATTCTGCTACTTCTATTTCATTTAAAATTAGGAAAGAAAAACAGAAGTACAATTTAAATGACAACCACAATCGACTTGTTGCATTAAGGCGACTAAATTGAAAGTCTTACAAATAAATCTCCCCTCTCTAACTCCCTATAAGTGAGACATTTCACAAATAAAGACACTATCAAACTGCGATACATTTCTTTCAATTGTTCCACTACAAATTATTTTCCATCCAAATAAAAATGTAATCTCATATGCTCAGCAGCGATCCTAGGGAAAAAATTATACTAGCAGCAACCAAGGACATCGACTGTCAGGCACTTCTGCTGAATATAGTGTTGCTGCTTCCGAACAGGCTTCTCAAAAGTGTGTCGGTTATGCAGTACCAATACTAGCGAGTTATACACCACCAACTACATTGTAATATCACTCATGAAAGTGATGAAATTAGCTTTTCTGTCGGCTTACTAAATAACGATATGTTTGTTATAAATATATTATATTATGGATGTTTATTTAGTACTCCGTGAAGCTTATTTATATGAGACTCGCCGTAAATATATTTGTCTATTTAGTACTCTATTGAAAATAAGCCTCCTGAAAAAGCTTATCCAGTAGCAGCTTACACAGCAGCTTGCAGAAGCAACTTACACATCAGCTTCCTTTCTTCTATAAAGGATGAGATTTCAGTTCATTATGTACAAAAATTTGAAGTTTGAATAATATATCAGTTTTTCTTTTTACTTTTCTTTACTTTACAGTCTTTATTTTATAACACGTTATCAGCACGAGACTCTGTCATCTCGAGCCAATACTTTGAAAGTATCAGAGGTACGAACTTTCTTTTTCTAAATAATGTCAAATCTTTCTAAACTTGAATTTGTAGCCCTGGATATATCAGGCAAAAGCTACATGTCTTGGGTACTTGATACTGAAATTCATCTTGATTCGATGAGTCTGGCAGACACCATCAAGGACAAAAATCAAGCATCAAACTAAGACCGTGCCAAAGCAATGATATTCCTACGCCATCACCTTGATGAGGGCCTGAAAATGGAATATCTCACTATTAAAGATCCAGTCATACTGTGGAATAATTTGAAAGATAGATATGACCACCTGAAGATGGTCGTTCTTCCACAGGCACGTTATGATTGGACTCATCTAAGGCTACAAGATTTTAAATCTATCAGTGAATATAATTCTGTTATGTTCAGAGTTATTTCCCAATTGAAATTATGTGGTGATAATATTACTGATCATGATATGTTGGAGAAAACTTTCATCATTTTTCATGCCTCGAATATGCTCCTGCAACAGCAATATCGAGAGATGGGATTCAAAAAGTATTCTGAACTTATCTCACATCTTCTTATAGCCGAGCAGAATAATGAGCTATTAATGAAAAATCATGAAAGTCGACCTACTGGTTCTTGTCCATTCCCTGAAGTGAATGAGACGAACTTCCACCAAGCTAAGCGTGAAGGAGGACGTGACCCCAGTCGTGGTCATGGCCGTGGTCGGGGAAGAAACTCTAATCATGGTAATAAAAATGAACCAAAGAACCCTCCTCACCACCAGTAGTGGAAAAGGAAGGAACAACAGCATGAAGCGGTGTAAGCAGCAAAGACAGAAAATGCATGCTATAGATGTGGAGGAAAAGGACACTGGTTACGTACATGTCGTACGTCAAAGCACCTGATTGAGTTGTATTAAGCCTCCCTGAAGAAGACAGAGAAAAATGCTAAAGATAATCCTCAAATTTATATTTGGATCAAAGACCAATCATGAAAATATTTGTGTAATTGATAGTGGAACAACTCATGCCATATTCAAAGATCAGAAATACTTTTCTTATTTGCATAAGGAAAAAGTAAATATTTCAACAATTTCTGGTAATATAAGTTTGATTGAAGGCTCCGGAAGAACCACTATATTTCTGTTTAAGGGAACAAAACTTATAATAGACAATGCATTATTCTCCTCTAAGTCCCGAAGAAACTTGTTGAGTTTTATAGATATCCGCCGAAATGGGTATCATGTTGAGACGATAGATGAAATGAATATGTAATATCTTTGTATTACAAAGAATGTTTCTGGACAGAAGTGCATTGTAGAAAAGTTACCAACTTTATCTTCTGGCTTATACTATTCAAAGATTAGTACAGTTGAAGCACACTCCATCTTAAACCAGAAGTTTACTGATTCAAATATTTTTGTGCTTTGGCATGGCCGTTTGGGCCATCCTTGATCAATAATGATGAAACGAATTACTGAAAATTCGAGTGGGTATCCATTAAAGAACCTGAAGATTCTTACAAATAATAAATTTTCTTGTAATGCTTGTTATCAAGGCAAAATGATCACTACACCATCACCAATGAAGGTTGGCATTGAATCTCCTGCCTTTTTAGAACGTGTACATGGGAATATATGTGGACCTATTCACCCACCAAGTGGGTTGTTTAGATATTTTATGGTCCTAATAGATGCATCTTCAAGATGGTCTCATGTGTGCCTATTATCATCTCGCAACCTGGCGTTTGCAAAGCTATTAGCCCAAATAATTCGATTAAGGGCACAATTCCCAGATTATCCTATAAAGGCTATTCGCCTTGATAATGCTGGAGAATTCTCATCTCAAGCTTTTGATGATTATTGTCTATCAGTTGGGATAAAAGTTGAACATCATGTAGCTTATGTTCATACTCGAAATGGCCTTGCAGAGTCATTTATTAAACGCCTGCATAGCAAGACTACTACTTATAAAAACAAAATTGCCCACTACTGTTTGGGGCCATGCTATCTAGCATGCAACATCACCTATCCGTCTCAAACCGACACATTATAATAAATATTCTCCGTCACAATTAGTTTTTGGTCCTGAACCAGATATTGCTCATCTACGAATTTTTGGATGTGTTGCATATGTGCCAGTAGCACTACCACAGCGCAGTAAGATGGGCCCACAGAGAAGGTTAGGAATATATGTTGGGTTTGAATCACCCTCTATTATTCGCTATCTTGAACCATTGACGGGAGATTTATTTACTGCTGGATTTGCAGATTGTCGGTTTGATGAAACAAATTTCCCACAAATAGGGGGAGAGAAAAAGGAAATCAAAAGAGAAATTGTATAAATTTTTTTTATCATTATCTCATTTTGACCCACGTACCCCTATATGTAATTAGGAGGTCCAAAAGATCATCCATTTACAAAATATAGCAAATCAAATGCCAGACGCGTTTACTGATTTGAAAAGGATAACTAAGTCACATATCCCTGCAGAGAATGTGTCTATCCGAATTGATGTCCCAACAGGACCATCTACTAGCATGAGAGCTAGTGAACCTAAAGCACGCCTAAAGCGTGGTAGGCCTTTGGGTTCTAAGGATCGAAATCCTCGAAAAAGAAAATCGACAAATGCTCAAAACGATAATATGAAGGGATCCCCTGAAGAGACACAAGATCTGATTAGTTCTGAAATTCCTGAAGAAATCAATGAACCCGAGACTCAAGTGAGTGAGAAGTTTTTAATAAGTTCTACCGGTGAAGGGATTAATTTAAATCGATCTGAAATAGTGGTAGATAATATTTTTGCATATAATATTGCACTTAACATTATGCAAGATAGTGAGGATCTTGAACCCCGATCTGTCGAAGAATGTCGACAAAGATCTGATTGGCCAAAATGGCAAGCGACAATTCAACCAGAATTGAACGCACTTGCTAAAAGAGAGGTCTTTGGACCAGTAGTCCAAACACTTGCTGATATAAAGCTAGTTGGTCATAAATGATTTTTTGTGCGTAAAAGGAATGACAAAAATGAAATTGAAAGATACAAAGCTCGCCTTGTAGCACAAGGATTCTCACGACGACCTGGAATCGATTTTGATGAAACATATTCACTTGTTATGGATGCCATAACATTTCGATATCCCATCAATTTAGCACTACATGAAAAACTTGAAATACATCTAATGGATGTAGTTACAGCTTATATGTACGGTTTACTTGATAATGAAATTTATATGAAAAGCCTTAAGCAAATCCAAAATCTCGGGAAATGTATTCAATTAGATTACAAAGATCTTTGTACGGTTTAAAAATATCTGGGCGTATGTGGTATAATCGCCTGAGTGAATATTTTCTGAAAGAGGGTTACATAAATGATGTTATTTGTCCATGTATTTTTATAAAGAAAATGGCATCAGAATTTGTTATACTTTTTGTTTATGTTGATGATTTACCTTGTTGGAACTCCAGAAGAGCTACAAAAGGCAATTGAATATCTTAAGAAAGAATTTGAGATAAAAGATCTTGGAAAGACAAAACTTTATCTTGGTCTGCAAATTGAACATTTAGCAGACGGGATCTTTATCAATCAATCTACCTATACATAGAGGGTCTAAAAACGCTTTTACATGAACAAAGCGCACCCATTGAGTACACGAATGATTATTCGATCACTTGAAGTGAATAAGGATTTGTTTCGACATCCAGAACAGGATGAGGAACTCCTTGGTCCCGAAATACCTTATCTTAGTGCAATTAGTATACTTATGTATCTTGCTAATGCTACAAGGCCTGACATAGCATTTTCTATTAATTTACTAGCAAGATATAACTCTTCTTCTACACGGAGACATTGGAACGCGATTAAGCATATATTGCGATATTTAAAGGGAACACTTGATATGGATTTATTTTATTCTAACAAAGGTAGTGCAGATCTTGTTGGTTATGCAGATACAAGTTATTTATCTGATCCACATAAAGCTCGATCTCAAACCAGACTGGGTACGTGTTTACATGTGGAGGTACTGTCATATCATGGCGCTCCACAAAGCAATCTATTGTTGCTACTTCTTCAAATCATGCTGAGATAACTATTCATGAAGCAAGTAGGGAATGTGTATGGTTGATATCAGTTATTCATTTTATTCAAGGAAAATGTGATTTGGAATGTGATAAAAGATCCACAATTTTATACGAAGACAATGCTGCATGCATAGCCCAATTAAAGGGAGGATTTATAAAAGGAAATAGAACAAAGCACATTTCACTAAAATTATTCTACACACATGATATTCAGAAAAATGGTGACATTGATGTGCAACAAATCCGTTCAAGTGACAATCCGACAGATTTATTCACTAAATCTTTGCCAACTTCAACTTTTGAAAAGATGGTATACAAGATTGGAATGCGGAGACTCAAATATTTGAAACAAAATTTTTTATAAGGGGGGTAAAATACGCACTATACTCTTTTTCCCTTACTAAGGTTTTTCTCACAGGATTTTCCTTATAAGGTTTTTAATGAGACAACTAGTTATGCGTATTACTAAATACAGTCAGACCTCTCTATAATATCATCCCTATATAACAACACTTCACTATAAAAGCCAAGCTTTTCCGGAACCAATATTTATGTTATGTTATAATATATGTTCTCTATAACAACACTTCGCTATAACATCCAAAAATATTCAAAACAAACTACGATGTAATAGAGAGGTTTGACTGTCTGTGTACTCTTTTTCCTTCACTAGGATTTTTCCTAGTAAGGTTTTAATGATGCACATTATCTTTTAAATGAACATCCAATGGGGAGTGTTATAAATATATTATATTACGGATGTTCATTTAGTACTCTGTTGTAAATAAGCTTCCTGAAGAAGCTTATCTATATGAGACTCCGCCGTAAATATGTTTATCTATTTAGTACTCTATTGGAAATAAGCCTCCTGAAGAACTTTATCCTTTCGGTATTCCGTTATGGATAAACATTACCCCTGGTAGAAGATTATCTATATTTGGTACAATGAGCTTATCCTTTCGGTACTCCGTTATGGATAAACATCACCCCCGATAGAAGATTATTTATATCTGGTACAATAGCAGCTTACACAACAACTTGCAGAAGCAACTTACACAGCAACTTCCTTTTCTTCTATAAATAGAGGAGATTTCAGTTCATTATGTACAAAAGTTTGAAGTTTGAATAATATATCAGTTTCTCTCTATACTTGTCTTTACTTTACAGTCTTTATTTTATAATAATGTTCATATTTTCTCTTTTTTCTTTTTGGTTTGAAAAGGAAAGTCAAACGAATATTAAACAGTCTAATCTTACATAATATAGCTCATTACAAGACTACCACTGAGCCCGCAGGTAAAGATCAAGAGAAACCAGTTCCAATTTCAATTTCAATTTCAAGCAACCAAGAATCATGAAATACTAATAATAGTACCATTTATTCATGCATACAAAAGTATTCTCCTGTCGAATGGCATGTCGAAAGCTAGATAATTCCTCAAATTGACCAATGGGGTTAATTGTTGTTCAACCACCCCAAACAGACGTATCAGAAAAAAGGACCTCAAAAATTTCTAGCTGTTACGTTTTCAATGATGGCTGTCTACTAAAACCCAATAACTGAATATTACACAAGGACGAGAGAGCCGGGTGGAGGGTGGAGATGGAAGAAAAAGGGGCAAATACCTGAAAGAGAATGAACAATATAGTCAGGACGGCCCATGGACGAAACACAAACTTCTGCTGCATACTGAAAGTAGAACGCGTCAACTAACTAAAATAAACTTAACACCTAAAACCTTCTTTACTAAAAGTAAACAGATATCTTTCCCAAGATTTTTCTGTATAGAAGCAGGGATGCAAAGCAAGGAAGATTAAATACCTTTGAAAACTCCTCATCTGGGGACCTGCAATCTTTTCTGAATACGCGCTTTAACTTCCGTCAATGTCTCATCCTCATGAATAACCAGGAAAAGGGCTTCCCAAAGTTCTGTACATGCTGCATGCAGAACAGCAGAAGAGAATGGAATAAAAAACAACTAATTGAGGAGAGAACCTCCACTATATATACACTGATTGTAAGTATAGCCATAAGCACTTTTCAATTTCTACACATGTACTTACTGCTCCACTTTGAGTTACGTCCTTCATAAAATGGTGAACATGAATCAAGCGATCATGAGGACCAAGGTTTTACCCTCTTCAGGGATCTGTAATGGACAAAGTTTGTCACCAATTAGATAACCATCTAAGACCTGTGCTACAACTATTACAAAATTACAACTCTAACCGAAGTATAAACTTAAGTTGATTTATATCCAGACAAAATGTTTTCTCTTTTTGTTGGTGAAGATTTTATGCCTTTGTCTTCCCCAATTAGTCCGGTCCACAAACGACTGCCACATATGTCGAGAGATAAACCAGACAACAACAGTAACCTAAGCAAAGCCCACTAGACCAGCTGGGCCTCAGATACTCAACCCTGCCCTCTACACCAGCACCACCAACATTAAGGCAAAGAATTGCAGTCATCCTCCAGCACACAATATATTTGCAAAATATGACAGCAATAAGTAACTGGAAAAATCTCATCGTCAGGGTTTATACCCTCAACTCCAAGATTAGAAGAATTACTTACCTCGAACAAGCTGAATCCAATATCGAGCAAGCTAAACAATGCTCCAGAAATCCCATTATGTGCGTATCAACTTCCAAACGACTCGAATCTAGTCACAATTAATTTGATTCATCCCACAAAATTTATAGAAATTAGTTCCATATCAAAATACTAATATTTTCACAAAATCCGAAAATTACGCCCCAAAAATCATCAATGGGGCCCACGTCTCGAAATCCGACAAAACTCACAAAATACGATAATCCATCCAATTACAAGTTCAACCATACTAATTTCACTCAAATCAAATTTCAAAGTCAGGCTGGCTTCCTTTAATCAATATAATATGTCCCAAGACTACAGCTGCACATTTATGATTATCAAGGGACTAGCTCTAGTATTTAGTTGACTAATATCCAGAGAGACTTCTGTGCAGCTGAATACGTCCTAGTTCATGAGCAAATTGTCACACTACCGGTGTTATTTGCATATTTCTTTTCATGATATTCACATATTTTTCCGGTAATCAATATAACAAAAACATACGGGGCACATGATTCTGTTGATATCATTAACAGCAAAACCATTCCGAGATCTGTGCAATTGTTCGAGGCCACTGAACTCCAAATCTCCACCCAGGACTTTGGATTTGACAAGTAACTTTGGGTTTGTGGGATGTCCAACGTATCCACAAACAATAAAACCATATATTTCCAATCGGGTGAAAATCATTTACATCCCCCAAGTTTACTCTCCTCCAATTTTGAACAATTGTTATTTTCATTCTTTCGTGCTACACAATGTCTTTTTTACCCTTTACATTTTCAACTCTCCATATATGTAATACCTTTTTTTTATATTATTTAGATATTTTTTAATGCAGGTATTTATTCATAAGTTAAAAATACTATATCTTATTTATATAATTTAATCTAAGTTCACTAACATTATAAATAAAATAATTATATTATGAATTTATTACAAAATTTATTGCTAATTTATTATTATTATTATTATTTTAATATTATGTATATTAAAATGCATATAATGTATGTTGGTGTGTGCGTGTGATTTTAAGTTACACTATTTATTATTATCTACGGTGTATATAAATTTTTGAGTTTTGATTGTTATTACTAGATTTTTTTAAAATTATAATTAAAGTTCATGTAAAGTTTAAATAGATAATTTTTGCAAATTTTATTATAAAATTTACCAGTATTTTACGCCCATTATTTTTTATTACCTGCATTTTATAATTTATAAAATTTTCACTCTCTTTTATTCTCAATTTTGTAAATAAATTTTTGATTACTATTTATAAAATTACTGATACGAGTAAATTATTTATTGTAATTTTTTTATTTTTCTCATTTATTTCACTATTGAACATCATTAACTTATATGCTTGACTACTACTTCTCACTCTTTTTTGGTTACGAAAAAGTTTTTAAAATTTGTCTATAGGTAAGTCGATAATATAAATTAAAAAAAAAAAAATAATTATGTTAAAGAATAAAAATAAGAGATAAAAATTGTAGAGGGTAGAATAGGCATTTTAAGAAGTCATCTTTAATATGAGGAGTAGAATGATAATTGTTCAAAGTTGGAGGATGAGTTTGATTTTTAAAGAAAACTTGGGGGATGTAAATGATTTTCACCCATTTCCAATCCCAAATCCAAAATTCAATAATCTATTTCAAATTCCCAAAGAAAAAAGATGTTTCGAAATTATAATAACAACATATCTCATGTTTGACAGCTTCTGTGTTGAGTATAGCAAGCAAAACACACCTCCGGCATATCAAGGACATATAATAATGGTTTATGGAATAGATATAAGCAATGAGATCGAGAGGGAAAGCGCATATAATTATTTGATCAAAGTATGCTGGATGGTCTAGTTGGCAAGAACTGAGACAAATCATAAAACATTCAAATAGATGCACAATCACCCCTAACTGCATACCCCCAGGAACAATTGGACCTGCTCTTCTGCATAAAATAAAGGAAACCAACAACAGAATATTCAGCGTACCTCCTCTGCACGCGGGGCTCAGTAATGATCATTTATGTTCTCAATCCTTTCATTAAGTGGAAAAATCTGCACAAAAAAATATGGAGGATAAGTTATAGATGCTACCAAGAAGCGGAACTGAGAAACACGATACTGCATGTTCTTTCATGAATTCTTATCTACTTCAAATGCATCAAATTCTGTGTGATTATATATGTCTCTGTCTGTATATATGTAATGTATGTCTCTATGGATGGACACACAGACATGCACAACTCTAGTGCTCATCACTTTATAAGATTTAAAAGTTCAAATATAAAACGAAAGGTAATAGCGAAATACTCCAAGAGCAACTTTATGTCTTTATCTGAACATAGAAGCATTTTCAGCAGATAGAAAACTACAGCGGAAGGAAGTTATGCAACATATTGGTATCTTATATATTTTGTGATAGAAAACTTCCAGCAATCTCAGTTCAGCATCTGGATGTGACAACTCAACCTACTCCATAACATGAGACAAGTTCAGCAAACCACTAAAAGCAATAGATCTTTAAGGAAATGAATTTTTAGCAGTGTACTGATCAGAGGAACCTTTCAATAAAATAAGTTAATTAGATGACATTAACTTTCAATGTGCACATATGGTGGTTCTCTCTGAATTATCTGCTGCATTTGTCTGTCTAGTCCAAGACATAAATGGTTTTTCCCACTTTTTTTCCTAGTTTCTACTTTCAGGTTTAACAGTTTAGGGTGGTAAAAGATATTTGTAGAAGGCATCACATTATACAGCAATATAACATTCAAAAGCTTTTTTAGAAGGCATTACATTCTATAGCAATATAAAATTCAAAAGTACATTTGTCTTGAGATGATTAAGGACATCATCTATGGTATCTTTGTTTTGGAAATCTAATAGTATGGATTGTCACCTGAAAATGAACAGCCCAAGATTATATATTAGAGCCTAGGAGACTTTATAAAACCTTATCAAAGGAGAGACTATAAAATTATAAATTATTTGTTGCACTTCATCTTTGGCAGCATTATAAAAGGCAACTTTGAGTGTTTTTAAGCACTGTAGCTCTGGTAACGGAATATCGAGGACATAATAATACAAAATATCTGAAGTCTATCCAAAGAGAACGGGTGGTAAGAAAATGCAGCTACTGGTAAATAACTACGAGGCATAAAATTTTATTTACATAGGGAAGTGCCAAATAGCCATAATCAGAGTAGTCACTGTGCCTACAATTACCTGGTTATAGTGAACAGGCATTTCTATGAGAAGGTCTAGTCCCAGATACACCCCATGTCTTCTAACCAAATCAACAAAAACCACACACTCTAGAAAATAGAAGAAAAGCAAAGAGAGTGAAGGGGTTGCGAGAAACAGAGAAGCCATAAAATCCATGTCAATTCTGTATGAGAAGAGCAGGATATGGAGGTGGATAGTGAGGAAACGAGGGATTCAGGCCATTCTTCATCCAATACGCTACTGTTACTGGCATCGCTCCAGTAGGCTTATTGACCGACTGGTGTAATAATGTAAAGGGAGAGGAAGGAAGGCACCAGTGGAAGAGTCTGAACCTTTGCATTCCAACCCCCAACTTGCTTATCCCTTTCCCCAAACCACAGAAGGGAGAAAAAAGGGAAAAAAGAACGAACTACTATGGGGAGTTGAGAAAAAAGGAGCTTACACATTTGTCAATACAGTGCCGATCCCCAAAATGTTGTCCAGTGCACATGCCTGTAGGATACAGATATGCAAATTACCACCGTGAAAACCCTATAATAACTAATGAAGCGAAGCTTGTACAATCATCAGCCAATCAACAGCGACTAGCGTTTCCAGAGTTCGAAACTGTAACTACTTCTGAATGCAAAAGTTTGTTCAATTAAGTAAATACTTATAAGCTTATTTTTCCAACTTAGCCAAATCAGAAAAACAGGACTGTTAAATACGCTATCGTATATCGTCATACACTATTAAGAACAAGGTATCAACATTTAAATATTTACCCCCCACCATCCAAAGAAACAAAAAGGATATCGGGGAAAACCATACAAACAATTCACGTCTTTGAGGAACTATAATAATTCTGCCATCAAATAGTCTTTCAAGCAGACCAGGAATATGTGGACACAGAAGTCAGAGTTGGATGGCTGTTGGGCTTAACTGTTGTGAGAAGGCACGGGAGAAAATATGTTATTGATATTGGATGATAAATACAATACAAGAGATCCTTATTTATAGCTATACACTACAAGGAGATATTACTCCTCTTCCAATGTGAGACAAGACTACATTATACATATTTATAAACTAACACTCCCCCTCAAGCCGGTGCATACACATCATATGTACCGAGCTNGAGGACAAAGAAGATATAAAAGCATAATATGGTGACGACAGACGATGATAACTTAAACCGACATAGTAGGGATTAGGATTAAGTGTGGATCGTACACTTTTGCGGAGTGTAATTGGTTGACTAAGAGGAGACAAATCCGCAGTAGGTACAGAATCTGATGCGGGGCGTGAATCACCTGGGCCTGATGCTGGATGTGGACGACGATGATAAGTCAAGAGTGGTGGAGCTGCAGAAGGTTGAACTAGATTATGTGGAGGAACTGGAGCTATAGGTGGTGGAGCTACAACCGGAGATGTAGGTGGTGGAACTGGAGCTATAGGTGGTAGAGCTACAACTGGAGCTATAGGTAGTGGAGCTACAACTGGAGCTGTAGGTGGTGGAGCTGGAGTGACTGAATCTCCAAAAGATGAAACTGGTAGTACCTCAGAAATATCTAAGTGATGACCCGAACCTGTGAAGTATGATTGGGTTTCAAAGAAGGTAACATCAGCGGACATAAGGTACCACTGGAGGTCAGGAGAGTAGCATCGATACCCCTTTTGTGTTTTCGAGAATCCCAAAAATACGCACTTAAGAGCACGAGGAGCTAACTTATCTGTTCGTGGAGTAAGATTATGGACAAAACAAGTGCTTCCAAAGATACGGGGTGAAAGAGAGAACAAAGGTAAATGGGGAAACATGACAGAGAATGGAACTTGGTTCTGGATAGCTGAAGATGGCATACGATTAATAAGATAGCAAGATGTAAGAACGGCATCCCCCAAAAACGCAACGGAGCATGAGATTGTATGAGTAGGGTACGAGCAGTTTCAATAAGATGTCTATTCTTTCTTTCAGCTACCCCATTTTGTTGAGATGTGTACGGACAAGATGTTTGATGAATAATCCCATGAGATTTCATAAACCGCTGAAATGGGGAAGACAAATACTCTCGGGCATTATCACTACGAAATATGCGAATAGAAACCCCAAATGGATTTTGAATTTCAGCGTGAAAGGTCTGAAAAATAGAAAACAACTCAGATCGATTTTTTATCAAAAATATCCAAGTGCATCTGGAATAATCATCAATGAAACTGACAAAGTAGCGGAATCCTAAGGTGGAACTGATCCGACTAGGACCCCAAACATCTGAATGGACTAAAGTAAAAGGTGACTCTGCTCGATTATCAAGACGCCGTTGGGAAATGGGAGCGGGTATGCTTACCGAGCTGACATGACTCACACTCTAGAGCTGACAAGTGAGATAAACCAGATACCATTTTCTGAAGTTTTGACAAACTGGGATGTCCCAACCGTTTATGTAATAAATCTGATGAATCAGTAACAAGACAAGTTGTAGAAGGAAGACAAGATGTGAGTCCATGTGATTTAGTAAGGATAAAGTAATAAAGTCCGTTTGATTCACGCCCGGTACCAATGATCCGCCCCGTACTGCGTTCCTGTATAAAAACATGGTCATCAAGAAATAAAACAGCGCAATTAAGTGATTTGGCTAAGCGACTAAAAGTTATGAAATTAAAAGGACTATTGGGAACATAAATGACTGAATCTAAAGGTAAGGAAGGAAGTGGGCTTGCTTGACCTATTGCAGTGGCCATGATTTGAGACCCATTGGCCATTGTGACTTTTGGAAGAGATTGAGAATACGAAATAGTAGTGAAAAGAAATTTGTTACCAGAAATATGATCTGATGCACCTGAATCAATGACCCAAGACTCACAGGATGAAGATTGGGAGAAACAAGTCACGCTATTACTTGTTTGAACAACAGAAGATGTCTGCTTACATGCTTTATACTGAAGGAACTCAATATACTCTGCTAAAGAAACCATCCGACTATTCAAAGCATCGGTTCCCATGTCGCTACAATTTGTAGTAGTATGGTTAACTTGAAATAGTGAAAATAAGCAACTCCTATGAGAAAACTGAAGAAATAGCTTGAAAAACACTGTTTACAGCAGGAAAACAGAACACTGTTCTGGCACACTGTTCACGCCGGGAACACTGTAGCTCGCCGAAAAATTCCAAAGTTATCGAAATTTGTTGTAACCAGGATGGATAGACTCGGAATTCCTTTGCGAGCAAGCTGTCCTGAAGAAATATTTTCAAAAAATGGCCAGAAGGTCACTGTTCACGCCGGAAAAATATAAAAGTGGCCGGAATTTGATTTGAATTAGATGGATAGGCTCGGAATTTTGAGGAGAGCACACTGTCCTGAAGAAGCTTCGCGAAAAAATGGCCGGAAAGTGGCCGGAACCCTTGCCGGAAAAGTTATCGGCGCGTGGAGGAACGTAGCGGCTTTTCTGCCGGATAAAATTTCAGGGGTTGGTAGTCGGAGGGTGATCTACCTCGTGGTGGTGTTGGTTTTAGCACAACACCGACAGAAAGTGACTTTCACTTAGACAAGCCTTAGGTCACCGGAAAAATTACACGATGACTAAGTTCTTTCTTCCCGGTTAACGCTGGAATGACGCACAACGATCTTTTCTCACTAATGCTCTGATACCATGTGAGAAGGCACGGGAGAAAATATGTTATTGATATTGGATGATAAATACAATACAAGAGGTCCCTATTTATAGCTATACACTACAAGGAGATATTACTCCTCTTCCAATGTGGGACAAGACTACACTATACATATCTATAAACTAACAACTCTTAATTTGAAATCTTCACCTGCAAGCTTAGCCTAGAAATACAAGCTAGCAATAAATTGAAGTGGAATTGCAAGCACAGGATAAAGGAAGTCGAAACGCACCATCTAGCTACAGTGGTGCAAGCACAGGAGAATGTCATAGTTGAGGAATTATACTAGACCCCTTTCAACTTCCATAAACAGTGAAACTCAGACTCCTTTTACAAGACGAGTTTCCCATGTTCTCACCAAGAACAAACAGCGTTGCCAAAGATATTAAGTTGGCTACAAAACGTGCCAGTTAGACTATAGACCAGTAGCTAACATACCACCGGAAGAGATGACAGACCCCCAGGGCTTTGGTTCAATGATAAAAGCAGCACAGCGAAGGATGAGCAGTGAGCATACATAACATGTTCGGAAGGTATTTCTCAGTTTAGAAGAAAATAAAAGAACAAGAAGTTGAAGGCTGAAAAATTGAGTTGAATAAAATTGAAGTTTAAGCATCCAAGATGAGGCTAATAGAGATTCTGGAAGACGTAGTGCACAAACTGACAAAAGAATTTTTTTTATAGAGAAAAAAATAGGTGCTCATTAGAGTTACACTGTCAATCTCCGAAAATGCACTTGGAAGTCCATAACATTACATTTTTATGCTGACAAAGACCAACCAGCACATTAAAAAATTAGCATCAGACATGTTAATTGAACCCATTCGACTAACATGGGAGGAAATCTTGACTGAGTCACTATATTAGTGATATATCAGTAACAGTTGATATACTTGGGGGGAAAAAATTCAACAATAGATAACATACACCAAGAATGTTTCTGCATTATTTGAAATGATATATGGAGATGGTAGATAACAAAAAGGTGTACAAAAAAATTAAAAGAAAAAAGGAGAAGGCATCTACTTCTTCATCTAACTATCGAAGGCGCCTTATCATTCTCATCATCTAACTAGAAAGAGATTCGACTGCAGCACCTACCTAAAAAGTACTATATGGTAATGATTCAAATTACACTCTCCAACAACATAAACAATCAAATCCAGAATATTTCTAATGGTAATGCAAACTTAATTAACACAGTCAAAAAGGAAGTCCTAATCTCATTAGAAATATCTACAAAATTATGTCAGAACAAATATGAGGCCTCTCAAAGACAAATTCTTTCAAATTTATGGGAATAACCTGATATTCCTTGAGTTGCCTTACACAAAAGGTTTGCAAATCTCTTCTCGTGTTTTTATACAGCGTCTGCTAGAGCTCATACTTCCACACCAAAAATACTTCAGATGAACCAAAACACATTTAAGAACATAAGTTTGCGATTCTTTTTTATGTTCTAGAGGAATCAACTTTGTGAACAGACAAATTACCTTCCGATATAGAAGATGACCAACATTCTGCCTCTCTACCAAGTGGTCTAAAGGAGTGCAGTCGTTGGGAGATCGCCAAAACACTAGAAATAAACATTTTGCTAATGTTTGACTGTAAAACTCTTCAGTAAGGCTCAATAAGAAAAGCACATATCAAGCTCTTCCCTACCAAGAAAGAAGCAGCCAGAAGAAACAAAGCGACCTGGCATGCTTCTAAAGTAGTCCTAGAAAAAAAGTAAGAGGCTTATAAGAAGCAGATACACAAGTTAACAAAAGCTTGGTAGTTCAGTAAAAAATAGTAGAATAACATGTCAATTATCCCCAGAGTTTAAAACGGTGAGCCAACTGCCCCTTCGGGACTTCTCGGTTATCCAAAAAAGAAAGAAGCAAAGACCTGTACAACAATAATGCATCAGTTGAAAGTATATCGACCAAGTATTAGTTTACTGATAAATCAAGATCTGTCACTAAATAACACCAAATTGGTGAAACTATTACCAAAAATTTACCAATAAATCCAGCCATCTATTTATGCAAACAGAGAATATGAAATTTCATCTTCGCACCAACAATTTCTTACTCTTTAGACCGAACTCTAAATTCTCTCATTAGTTGTACTCCTGTTCCACTTTATACGCCATTACTACCTCCAGGGGATCAACAAAATTTTTGCTATGATTTTTCATTTACTTTTCAAATATTTTTTACTTAAAAAATTGTAATGTTTGTATGTGATATCTAAATATGAACTGTTCTAAAAATAAATGAATATCCGAATTAATATTGAAGACCCTTGATACTCCAACATCTGCAAAAAAGTTATTCAACACGGGGGACTACTATTTTTTTCCACCACGACCCAAAAATAAATGCAAAAAAAGCCAGGTTCCTAGTATCTAATCCGGGCTCATCCTCAGCTTTTGCGGATGTTCCCATTACTACTTGAGAAGTATCCATGGAATGTTAAATTGGAACATCAGGCGAACGCATAAGTCAACAGCATAAACTGCTGTGGACCAGGATATGATCATCATTCAAGGGCCCTTTCACAAAGATAACACAAGCGAACTATAATCTGTCCTCTCCACTCCTTATGTTGTCGGCTATGAAAACACCCAATTTAGCAAACGATGTGTAGAAGGCCATATTTTTTAGCACCTTCGACTTCTATAGTAGCTTTACGATCACAGACCTACTAATTAGGTATACTTCCAGAACAAACAATTTATGGACGTTCAAAAGAAAAAAGCTCACCTAACAGCACGGATCGATCACTTCCTAAGCTTAGAACGCCCCAGATATATTAAGCCATAAGGCATCAGCTGACCTTCGTTTTCATCGTTTATCTCACAATTGAGAGATTGTTTGAAACAAAGCATGTACATGAAAGAAATAATAAGCCAAATGTCACAATTTGAGCACGTCATTCTATATCGCGATCAAGGTACAGCCTATAACATAATATTTCCTTAGGTATGTGTTGACCTTCCTGAGGAACCTGAGAAAATGTCTCATGGCATTCAATGCTTTTGAATAGACATTCAAGAGACCAAAAAAAAGCTCAAGTGACAACAAGTACCTCACCTTAAACTATTGTTTGAAACAGGAGTTTAGAGTACCTGCTGCCCCACGGTAAGTCGCACGATATTAGGGGGCTTTTGAATCCATTCTTCTATCTCTCTGTTAAAATACTGTTTGAACAGGAACTCACATGAAAGGACTTATCAGTCAAACACTACCATCTGGCACAGCATTCTATATCAGTTTAATTACACCATTGCAAACTGAAATTGGATATTATCTGCAACATCAATATTAAACCACACAAGCAATAGCAAAGAATATTATGTTGCAAGCAGGCAAGAAAATTTTAAAGATGATGAGAATATATAAGGGTCGCGACAAATGCAAATGCAAACACAAACCCCTTATTTAGTTGAAAATTTAGTGGGACATCTGATACTAATGGAAGATTTTTCCAATGCAAAGTTGGATCATCATTACATTTGAGTAGACTTGGAAAAAAGAAAAATACTATCCCTCTTCATTGCAAATACTACAATCCCTCCATTCTGAAAATTCGGACGTTTCCGCAAGCGACCATAGAGACCACACGTCTATCATTTCCAAATCTTGCTAATGATAAGAAGTTCGATCACCACAGCAAACTGATATTTGCACGTAGTCTTCAGCATTCATGAAAACCTCACAAGCAAATAGCAAATAATGAAGAGTATTATGTTGGTTCATAGACATCAATCGTGAAACAATTATCAAATGCAAAGGTGTATCATAAATAAATTGGAGAAGACATGGAAGGAAAGCAGGTTTCAGAGGAAGTCTGCACGCATTGAAACAGTTAACCTTGCAAACTGATACCTAGATGTACATAAAACACAGCAGCGCTTCAGCGAAAACAAAAGAAAAACCAGCAACAAATAACAAACAATTGAAACTGCAGCTAGGGAAGGAGTATCAGCTATCTTTTGAGGATATATACTGGGTCATCAACTATGTAGAAAACAAACCCTGACAAAACATATCCATACGCTGCCAGGCTAACACCGAACCTTTATTAATATCAAGTTGGAAACCATCAAATAACGAAACAATATTTTCAGTGTGAAGGTGGATCGTCAATAAATTGCAGCATATGTAAGAGACTGCGCCTTAAATCATCAAAAACATTGGTGAATCCTTTCTCTCTGAAAAAGCAGGATAATAAGTTTGTTATCGCATTTCTATTTACCAATTGCGTGATAAGCAAGATTCCCCAACTGAAACTTCTCAGTCGACTTGCCAATACAAGCCCCTAACCCATCTCTAGACATTTCATCTAGCTGCCATGTATACCTGATATGTATTATTAACTGTAATCAGATGTGGCATAAAGATAAATAAGAAACAATGACAGATCTAGGGAGCAAAAGTTTCATCCGAATTGCTCAAGACAAATAAGGAGAAACAGTCAAAGGCAGCTCCAGAAATCATTTCTATTGATTAAAAAAGAACAGATTGACTAATTGAACCATTGACACCTTCCCTCCTCCTTAATCCGGGCTTGGGACCGGCTGTTTAGACAGGCGGAGTTACAAGGGTCACCTAAACAAAATGTAGCAGTAAGTAGACCTAAGCTACAAGAGAAAACACAAGGCCAAACTACTGTTGGTGTCAAGACAAGACATGATCATCGAACAAACAGAACAGCTCAATAAAATGCATCAACTCAAACGCGAACAACACACAAAGCCGAGGAACAGCCTGGAAATAAGTTTGGATTATATAAAAGGAAATAAATACTGGGAGGAACAGACTGAGCAGTGACCTCCTAGGTTAAAAGGGACAAATTGGCGGAATTGTTGAAGAGTGGATACAAGTCAATGACTGTACTTGGGGATACAAACTGACATAGGATTGACTGTCTAGGTTAGAATCTAGGATAAATTCACGATTCAATCACAAGACAAAGAATCGGAACCAATAAAATTCAGACTTGGCAATGACCTTCTAGGTAACATTCATAATTGAAAGAAATAAAGGACAAAATCACCAGTCAAATCGAGATTCAAAGTCTGGTGGTGGAAAAGGTTATAAATACTATCTTGGAAATTCTCACAACTCAAACTCTTCCAGCATACTGAAGCAAATCTTCACAAAATGCCTACGAAAACAAAGATAAAACACCCATCACCCTAAAGATATCCCATATACCTAAGCAAACTCCCTCTAGTGGATCTCCCTCACAAATGAAAACTTCCAAAAAAGATTATTTCCACATCAAAAAACCTCATTTAGAGCAAAAAAATCAATCAGATTATCCAACATAAAAAAACCTTGTTTAAAGCAACAAAATCAATCCACAGCACCTTGCTTTTAGCATACGCAGGAAACAAAAAAGAATGATTTACTATTTTTTTCTTTAAAAAACAAACAGATTATCCCACAAAAAAAACCGTGTTTAAAGCAACAAAATCAATCCACAGCTCCTTGCTTTAGCATATGCAGGAAACAAAAAAAAATTATTTACGATATTTTTCTTTAAAAAACAAACAGGAAGCAAAAGGCAAATTGCAGGTACAAAATNTACATTCAACCACATCATTGGTTTATCTAGCTAGCAAAACCTATAAGCTGGGTGTCCGTTTTCTTTTTATCTATTTGGTGAAATAAGTTATATCTCGTACAAGGCTGATATCCTTCCTTCCAAAGAGAGAAAATATGATACGCTCCCTCGGACCAAAAAATCTCAATTGACAGCATATACACTTCAACCTCATTGCATACCTTAGGAGAAAGAGCACATGGTACTATGTCCTTCTCGGTTTCCATCATTTTACCTTAAAAGTAAATGAGTGTTGTACAAGCAGAACTATGTGCGCAAAATGAACAAACAGTGGTAGCACTAACTGGCCCCTAGCCTAACCACGTAAAGCACTTCAAATTCCCTAAACAAGATATGGAGTTCACCGTGCTAACTCCCTGCCCGTCTAGGACCCGAATCATCATGCAACAATAGCAGATATGATATGAAAGTTCCTCCGAAGAAATTCCAGCAGATACTGTAAAGCAGAGCCCCCATGACTGCAATGGAACATTCACAGGGAAAAAAATATTGTTTCCCCATAGGACTTCAAGAGAACTAGACAACTTCTGGGACCTGGCTAGTTAGAGCAGAACATGACTTCAGCTGACAGATGCTAATTTGAAGATGCCTAGCAGCTAAAAGTAAAAATGTCATGGCACCAGCCCAGAACAGAACCTATAGATGTTTTGTCCTAGTCTTTTTGAAAGATTGCCCAAGGGGTAACTGCATCGAGAGGAGGGATTGACCAGTATGTTCATTCCATGAAAAAGTTGCACTAGAAAACACATTGTTCACAATTTCATAGCATCTTGCGACAACTATATATATAATATCCAGAAATCAGATTCTCTAATTCAGAAATATCGAAATACCTGTAAAAAGCAAGCACAGAATATATCCTGAAATCAATGTTTTGCGACCAGCTAAAACTTCCCACCAGAAACCCATATAGATCGTCACTGAAGCAATCTCCACCGGAAAATAACTCCCGCACAATATTTTTAAATACTGTTACCCAAAAAAGTAGAAAGCTACGAAGGAATTCCCACCTAAGCTCTTGACATACAGCATCTACCAGGTACATACGACTATTCATAACCAATCCATTTGGGACCATATGAAAGTTACTACCAAAGCCACCTCGCCTAATTGCATATTGAAACATACAGGATGGCTATGCTACTTGTACATACGAATTCATATGAAAGTTCACAACTAGTGATGTTTGGCCATGAGCCTGATAAAAAAGAGATCCACAACAAGAGTCATACCATCATATGCATCACTTCATAAACCAAATGCTCATTCTCAATATCCCTGTAATACTCCAGATGTCGGACAAAAAATTAACTGGTGAATGTGAATAAAAGAGAATAGAGATGTCAAATCCAAACCACTGAAGACTAGCTGCAGCTTTGAAAAAATTATGTCACCCCAGCTTCACCTTCCCAAAATACAAGAGGTTATGTAATCAGAAACACCAGAACATTCTCATTCGCGTATTATGTAGGACCTGCTTAAGACCTTGCACATGTTTTCTCACCGCTAAACACTTCATCAAGGGAGGGGGAGAAAGAAGGCAGAACTAAATGAAACTACAAAGATCTTACACAAGTTGACTCACCACCAACGACCTCTACCCATCAAGGGAGGGGGAGATAATTGGAACTGCATCACACCAAAAAATACCCAAAACAGGTTTGATGATGCAGCAACAGAGAAAATCAAAGCCCAGCGGAATAGAGATCATAAATATATATAAGAGAAGATGATAAAATGGGAATAACACCACTATAATCATGCCATATGAAAAGTGCACATGCCATACATGGAAGTGCAACAGGGGGAATGAAGTGATATACTCTATGAATAAAGGCAAAGCCGGCAGTATTTTCAAAATGGTCGAGCTCGGTCAGGGACGTTGGATGATTCCTAGAAGATCTCCTTTATTTTATTCAAGGTGCCTAATCAATCAACAATACAAGAAGTCCAAGAAACCAAAGGACAACAATATCAGAAATAAGAAATGAACTATAGCTGGTTCTAAAACATGACTGACAACGAAGTGACCAAGCAATGAAGTTGTAACCAACAGCTCCAATATCACAACGCCTTGATACCTTGTACTGTGCACCCTCATAACTCGATCGATGGAGGAGGCAGCATCACCCTAGCGACACATATTAGATTACGCCTGTAGGAAGAAAATAATCCAAACTAGAATAGTATGCGAGAACACGAATAGCTGACCCAGAGCTGGAGTTTGTAATGAAACCAAAAGCTAACTCAGCCATCTTGCTAGCTCACACCACATCTACAGAAAGTAAAAGCATATTGTTGCATCGTTGCTCGACATGAAAAATAACAATAGAGTAGAGTGAAAAGAAACCGAGCCTGGTGGCTCTACATATAAACCAGCCACGTTCTTTTGAGGGATACCCCATCCTTTGACGGTGATCCAAATTGACAGATTTGTGACCACATCTATAGAACGTAGAGCAAATAGTTGCACGTTGCTCGAGTTGGAAAATAACGATAGTAAAGTGAAAAAAAACTGAGCCTGGTGGGTCTACATAAAAACCAGCCACATGCTTTTGAGGGATACCCCGAGCCTTTTGACGGTGATCTAAATTGACACATCTGTGAAGTGAAATTTGGCTGATCAAACAATTTGTGAAGTGACATTTGACTAAACATACCACCACAGCGTAGCAAGAAAACAAAGATAGTGGCACAACGATTGCCTATTAGTCAATGCTGATTCAACCATGTTAAGCAAATTATTACAAGGCAATTTGGAAGTATTAAAAGGAAAGCTAACCAACTTTAAACTAAGATTTTGAAAAACTTGCCACCTTGCACGATGATCACATATGTGGTAGATTCACAAGGGTTCCAAAAGATATATACTCTTGTGAAGATCTATTACAAAGAACAAAATAATTACCTTGCATTCATTTACAAAATTAAAATAAGAGAATTTTAGAATCAATGAATCGAGCTCTTGTTCAAGTGGAAATGTTCTGTGGAGAAAAAATGTGAAGGAGATCTCTTACACAAAAACTTTTACATAATAGCAAAAGAAGCAAGTAATCAAATGAGAGAATATTTAAAACATAATATGCATGCTTCAAAAGAGATCTCCAAACAAAGAGGCTTCATTTACCCGATAGCAAACAGTTTGAACGCAGATCCACAAATGAACTGATCAAAACTATGAGCAGCAAAAGCCCTCTGCTACCTGGTGAAGACATCAATTGATCGGAATCTGTTAGATTTGAAATGTTACTCTCTTTTTTTGTAAGGTAAAAAAAATTATTACAAAGGGGAAACCCCGTTTACAATCCGTATGCTAAAATGTCTCTCTTCTAGTTAATATATTCTGATTGTGAACTTCAGACTACGAAAACAACAAGGTTGCCCTACAAGTGTTGCCAACTGCATGAACGCCTAGACAATGCTGGCACGAGCTTGATCGGACATAAGTACACACCATAGAATATCAGTAATTGATTATGGCTGCAGATAAATCACTCAATATAAGAACCAAAAAAACAATCTACCCGCCACCATGCCTGGAAACCACCACGGACGCGTTAAAGTTCCTGCAAAAGGACCTACTAGAATGCACCACTATCAAGAGCCTAAGCTGAGAGAAGGGAAGCACTCTGATTAGGGAAGAAAATTGAATTGAAACTCTTGATACCTAGATCTGCCTGAACTAAAGAAACCTTAAAAGCAAATCAACAAACAAGAGCACTCCATGAGAAGAATTCACTGCTCTAAGACCTAGAAGCTGCAAGCACAGAAGGAAGGGAACAGTTGAGTGCAAATTGATACCACCTAGGAAAATTAACGAGATTTCAGAGATAAGATTGAAAAACCCCCTTTCCTCGAAGTCTGACAAAATACAGGGTGCAGAGCAAACACCATATTGGACACCACTTTGGATTTTCAAAATCAAATCCTCAATGACTGTCACCATCTGGTCTACACATCCGTCCAACAGACAAAATAAAGTTGGCGTGATAAACAAAAGAAAACAGAAGCAGAGAAGGCAAGTAGCAAGAACACCAAAAGGAGCACTTTATGCGGCTATCAAGAGATGCAAATTTGAGTACCCATCCCTTTACACCTGTAGGAAGAAAATAATCCAAACTAGAATAGTATGCGAGAACACGAATAGCTAGCCCAGAGCTGGAGTTTGTAATGAAACCAAAAGCTAACTCAGCCATCTTGCTAGCTCACACCACATCTACAGAAAGCAAAGCATAGTGTTGCATCGCTGCTCAAGATGGAAAATAATGATAGAGTAGAGTGAAAAGAAACCGAGCCAAGCATCTGGAATAAAAATTAAAAATGACAGCAGAATACACACACTTGTGAAAAGAATTAACTTAACTGGGAGCTTCCATATTATAGCAGTTTTGAGAAAGCTGTGAGACGCGAAATATCCAATACCTATAGTCCAAGACCTGAAAACTTGCTCTGCATCTTCCCAAAAAAAAAACACCACAGCAAGGAGGCACTTATTTCTTCAGAACCACTTGCACCATTGGATCAAATCTTAGATACCTATTCCATGTATCCTTTGACAAGTAACACCAAATGAAATCCACTAATGATCGAAACGAATAAGCACTACAAGGGAAGGTAAAAGAAGTCTGTGCGAGAAAAAGATACTACTTGCATCAATATTAACATTGCGATGAAAGTCAAGATCTCAAACCAAACTGATAGCTCCATCCACACTGATGTCGTGGCCTGCTTATGATACATATGGGTAGGATAGATGACGGACTTGTTAATACTAGTAAAGATATTGACTGATCAAAACCTATGATATCTAAAATCTCTCTTCTGCTGATCATTAACTTCAGATAAGGATAACAGCACGGTAGCCCTACAAATACTGCAAGTTGAATCTAGACACTGCTGGCAGAGCTTGATTACACCTTAAAATAGAAATAATCAATTACGGCTGCAGATAAATCACCAAATAAAAGAACCAAAAGTTGAATGAAAATAATCAATACCCACCGCCATGCAATGGAATCACCGCGGACATGTTAGATTTTCTGCAAAAGAACTAATAGAAGAGCTCTAAGAGCATAACTAATAGACGAGCACCATCTCTAAGAGCATATGGTGAGAGAAGGAAAGCACTCAGATTAGGGAAGAAAACTGAACAGAAAATTTCCCTAAACCACAAACAAGGGCACGCCGTGAAAAGAAGATATCACTGCTCTAAGACACGGCAACTGCAAGCACAGAAAGAAGAGTAACAGTTAAGTGCATAGTTGGCTAAACCCAAACCACCAAGGAAATCACTAGAGATGCCAGAGACGAGATTGAAAAACCTCCTTTTCTCGGAGCGTGACAACACCCAGATCACAGAGCAAGCACCAAATACTGGACACCAACCTTTGAAATTTCCAAATCTAATCCTTATTACTGTGACCATGTGATCTACTGTCACCCTGTGGTCTACACATCCATCCAACAAACAAAATCATGCCGACGTGATAAAACATAAGAAAACGGAAACGGAGAAGATAAGCAAAGAGGACGCATAAAGTAGAGGAGCACTTCACAGGGCTATCAAAAGATCCAGAATTGAGTTTGCGTACTCTTCAGGTGTCCATACCATAAGAGATTTCATCCATAAGCATCTCTGAAAACTAAAATGACAGCACAATACACTATACACACTTGTGAAAAGAATTATCATCAATTGAGAGCTTCCGCATATGAGCAGTTTCGACAAAACTAAGAGACCAATATATCCGATACCTATGGTCGAAGACCTAAGAGCTTGCTCTGCATCTTTCTGAACACAAACACCAAAGCAAGACACTTACACCTGTAGAACCACTTGCGCCCTTGGATCAAAACTTAGATACCCATCCATGCATCCTTGAAAACTGACACAACCTAGGAATGAAATCCACCGACGATTGGACCAAATAAGCATTGAGACAGTCAAGGTAAAAGAAGTTGGTGCGAGAACAAGACAATAATTATTAGCATATAAGATGGAAGATATCATATCCAAACCAATAGATCCATGCTGGACACTTGTTCCCTGCTTCTGACACATAGGCTTAGATCACTGACTTGTTCATCTGAAGATCCAGTCCGCATGGGGAGCAAAGATAATGAGGTTTCAGGAGAGTGAAGCTCAAATGTGTGGGCAAAGCAGTGCGCACCAGCATCCCTTTTCAAAATAGGAGGAGCTCATGCAAATCAGAAAACACAGAATAATCCTTCTATCCATCATCACTACTGGGAAAAGAACTGGAACACAATGGCTAACATGCCCAGCATCCATATGGAACTAATTGCATAGTGGAATGTCACAACAAAACCCTCAGAAGTGGCCCAAAACCTGAAAATATGCTTGGTTCCCCCAAAAGTGCAATCTAGAATGGGTCACACCAGCAAGCCAGACTCATTCTTAGCATTGACAGTTGAAGGACGCAAATCAGAAACCAATGGCACAAAAAAAAAAGAGGAAGGCCTCAAAGGCTATCTGTAAAGGGGAATCCATGAGATACCATGACTATGAGAAGGATGAAGGTACTAGCTGCAATTCCTTGAGAAGAAATCACCCACCTTCCCGAAATAGAAAATACTCATCCAAGCCACAGAAACGTCCCTATCATTCTCCTATGATCATTACCCAGATCAAACATTGGCAACATTGACATACAAACAACCGTCTCTAATCAACAAAGAAGAAAAAGAAAACTATTGTACCTGCAAACTGAATCTGACACCAAAAAAAAAAAAAACTCAAAAAGAACTCCCAAACCCCGATCACCCGCTTGAATTACATGGTCCATGCTCAACTTCTCAACAGAGATGAACAAAGAAAAGCAAATCAGAAACCTACAGAAAATCAAAGACAAAATAAACTGAAATATATAAACTACCAATCATAGGAAAGCAACGACACGATGATAGAAGGTGCTGGTAGTGAGTGAGTTGTATAGTAACAGATAGCCGACAATTTAAAACCAAACAATCGCTCCATGAAAAGAAGTATTCACTGCTCAGAGACTACCCACAGCTGCAAGCACAGGAAAAAGGCAACAGTTAAGTGCAAAGTTGGCGAAATCCATACCAACTACGAAATCACTAGATATTCCAGAGATGAGATTGGAACCCCCCCCCNGAGTTATATAGTGACAGATAGACTACCCACAGCTGCAAGCACAGGAAAAAGGCAACAGTTAAGTGCAAAGTTGGCGAAACCCATACTAACTACAAAATTACTAGATATTCCAGAGATGACATTGGAAGTCCCCCCCTCTTTTCAAGGCCTGACAATAACCGGATTACAGTGCAAGCACAAATAGGACCAAGAAAAAATGTGTCAAGGTGCATACAACCGACCTTTGCAATTCCGAGCATCTGGACTCAAAACTAGTGGCAGCAGAATATAGTATACACACTAGCAAAAAGAATTATTGTAGCTCAGAACTTCCATTTAACAGAAATCTTGACAAAGCTCCAAGACACAAAATATCCAATACCTATAGTCAAAGGGGGGAACCTGCTCTGCATCTTCCCCACACAAACACCAAAGTAAGACACTTATGCCTGTAGAGACAACGGATCAAATTTTAGATAACCCATCCATGTATCCTTGACAACTGACACCACACCTAGGTACGGAATCCACTGATGACCCGACCAAAAAAGTCAAGGTAAAAGAAGTTGATGCGAGGAATAAAAGGATATTGGCAGCGAAATAGCATATAAGATGAAAGTCGAGATATCATATCCCAAGCAGTAGTCTCCACGCTGTGGTTGTCCCCTACTTGTAACACAGCACTAGAATAGATCACGGAATCATTTATCTGAAATTGCAAGTCAGCAAGGGAGCAAAATTGCTCGAGAATTCAGGGGATTGATAGCTCAGATAGCGTGGCAAATCAGTGTACATCAGCGCACCTTTCAAAACAGGAGGAGGAGCTCATGTAAATCAGAAACACAAACAACTCCAAATACCATCCATGGAAAAAAAAGAGTACTTAATTGCATAGAGGTCTCACAGCAACCTCAGAATCGCCCAAAACCTGAAAGCATGCTTGATTCCCCCAAAATTGCATCTAGAATGGATCTCACCAACACACAATTGAGGGATTGCAAAATCCGAAAAACCAGAAGCAATAGCATGATAGGAATAGCAGGTTTAAATGAAGACGAAATTTCTTATCTGCTGTCAATGTTGTCAACATAAATGTTGAATATTGGAAACAAAAGAAATTTCAATCGAAAACAATTTTTTTTTTTTTAAATTAAAAGGACTCGCGAAAGTTGAAACAGGGAAGGGAAGAAAATAGGAACATTGAGAAACCATGAGGTTACAATCCTCAAAGGCAGGCTATTTATTAAAGTAGTTAGTGGGTGAGATACCATGGCTATGATTAGGGTGAAGGTACTAACTGCAATTCCATGTGAAAAAATCACCCACCGGAAGTCACTATAATCATCATCAACGCCACCGGAAGCCCCTAATCATTCTCCTACAATCATTACTCAGACCTGATCAAACAATGGAAACGTCTGACCTACAAACCATCAACAAAGAAGAAAAAACAGAACTAATTGCAAACCGAACCTCACACCAGAAAAAGAAACTCCAAAGAAGCCCCAGCCATCATTCCATATCACATATTCCAAATAAATTACCAATTGAATGAGAGAAAGCAACGATACGAAGCCAGAAGGTAGTGGAAGCGAGTGAGACTTATATAACAGAAGAAGATAGAAGAGAAATCAAAACAATAACCGATCGCTACCGGACAAACTGCGACTTCAGAAAAGAAGGCATCACATCATCTTCACAAAATACTACAAACGAGAACCGTGTAAATAAATACCAAAAACCGACATCAACAAACGATCTCTGCAGCCTCAAAGGAGAGAAACACCAATTCTAATTACAAAACTGAATCTCAAATCAAAAAACCTCAAACGGATAATCTCTGGGGCGGAACTCAAACTCTCAACAGCGACAATCTACGGATTGAAAACCACAAACCTAGCAGGGAAATCACAAGCTCAGCGAACAAAGAAAACAAACTAGGATGGAGGAATTGTATAACTGGAGAGTCTATTTATAGAGTTATGAGGTTGGATGGACGGCTGAGATTAAGCGATGAAGATACCGCGTTGCGTTCGGGCTACGAGCGGATGTATTTGGACCAAAGAATATTTCAAAGGCGGTGGCGTTAGGTCGGCGTCTTTGAGTGGTATTAAATTTTGCAATATTTCCCATTAACTATTACGTGGTCCACAAATAATACTTGTAATAACTTTCTATAACAAAATTTAGTAACCGCAATAATTTCTGTTTTCTAAAACACAACACAATTAAATGAAAATAATTATTGTGGATATCCATTTATTACCCCGCTAAGATTATCCATTTAGTATTCTGTTGAATTTTATCTATAAGCAGCTGATGCAGGCAGGTTGCAAGTAGCTGAAATGATTTGCAGCAACTTCTTATTAAACAGGCAGGTCGCAAGCAACTCATGCAGACAGCTTACAAACAGCTAAAGAAAAGCCTTGCAACTGCTTCCTGAAAAGCCTCGCAGTTGCTTCATTTCTTCTATAAATAGAGGAGTTTTCAATTCATTATGTACATGAATTTGAAGTTGAATAATATATCAATCTCCCTCTATACTTGTCTTCGGTTTCTTTACTTTACAGTCTTTATTTTATAACACGTTATCAGCACGAGACTCTGCCATTTTGAGCACCTCGAATTTAATTTCTATTTCAGTGTTCCTCTCCGATGTAATGCGACACTCTTATGTCCGTGGTTAGATCTTGTTCATAACGAGCATCATAAGGCAGATTATATCCTTGAGGTGGTGAGTTTTTCTTCTTGACAGTAGTGATATAGATATCACTTACATTTGGTGTGGCCAAATTTGCATAATTTAATTTGAGTCTTTTGCTTATATTTTAATATCATTATCATCGCTTGCTTGGTTATATGTTACGTATATAGTACCTATTTTGGTATTTGTTTTCATCCTAATTATCTTAATAAAGGATTACAAAGTGAATAACATTGTTAGATCCACTTAAACTCCAGCAGAGTTTGCAAGAAATATACAACCACCAGAAGTGGTTATGTTTCATATATCTCATTGTAACTAAATTTTGTTAACCACCAGAAGTGGTGTATGCCTATGACCACCAGAAGCGATAATTTAGGCTTTCTATGGTTACAATTAAAGATAAGCTAGAGAAATATTCTCTATATTACATGCACGCCTCGATTTGCTCCTGAAGTAGTAAATATTTTAAAAGAGGTTGAAGCATCACAATTGATGTGATTAATGCGCATTCAGATAATTATATTCAATTTCCTGAAGAATGAGAATTTTTGATAAATATTAATCCATTCTCTGAAGTGAATGTGATGATATTAATAAAGTCGTAAATATGAACGTGCTCTTGATGTAAATATATTATAATTCACCTCGAGAAGAGGTAATATGATTGAGAGAATATATACTCAATTTTTCGTATTTCAATTTGCTCCTGAAGAAGTAACGCAATTGAAATTTTCTCCCGAAGTAGGAAAATATTATTAAACTGTGTCTTTATGTGCGTAAATAAAATAATGAGTTATTCAAAATTATTTTTGAAGCACATTTTTATTCCTTGTAGTGAATGAAGAAATACCACAACTCACCTCCGGAAGAGCTAGAATAACAGATGATATAAATATTATTTTTGTGGCATAAAGATCATTGTCGCACGTACCTGTTGTACGTAAAACATCTTGGATAATTTTATTAAGTATCATTCTAAGGCAAAATCATTCTTGTAGAATGCTTTCTACTACAACCACATTAACATATTATGGTTAGTTATTGACTTCCCCGAAGGAAATAACAACTCGTGTATCTTTCCTTAAAAGATGCAATGACTATGTGGTTGTCATATTGATACAAAATATTCAGATGTTAATGATATTTCTACTTGAATGAGATATTTGTCACAAAGTTAGTGGTAAAAATATTAAAATTCTTAATTTTCGTCATTTATAAATTTAGAATTAGTTTTATATTGTTCATTTGATTATGATTTTTTCTCATGATACCAGAAGTGTCTGAGCAATATTTGATAGTACAAAATGTATCAACAACTCCTGAAGAGCTAATTGTTTGTCTAGAAGACACGTGACACCAGTGGTGTCTGATAAATATTAGATTGTGGATAATAAAGGAAGGCTCTCGAAGAGCTTATATACAAATATGTCATTCATATTATATGATTATGGTCAAAACATATGTTGTAGTAAACCTGAAGTTTACTAATACAAATGGCTATCATATTGAGACTACAAATGATCAAAAGATTAAAAATCTTCATATTTCCACAATCATATGGGGTAAATATGTATGTGAGAAGTTACCCGCCTTATTCTTCAAATTTGTATTACATCATGTATCACAGTATACCAGAAGTTTACTAATACAAAAGTAGCCATAGTAAATCAGAAGTTTACTGATGCAAAAGTTTATGCCATAGTAAACCAGAAGTTTACTTAGAGATAGCACATGCCATGATAAACTTGAAGTTTTCATTTGCCATTTTTAAATGAGCTATTTGAGAATTCAGATAAGCATATACTGAAGAACTAGAAGATTCTTCAAGAATTCTCTTGTGTTGCTTGTTCTCGTAATAACTTGATTGTACCAACTAAAGTTGGGACTAAAATTCCCGAATTCTGAAATATATAAAAGGTGAATATGGGCTCATTCACCTATCATGTGAACCACTTATAGATGCATATATAAGATGGTTACATGTATGCTTATTGTCAACCTGTAGTTTGGCATTTGAAATTGTCTTTCTCAATTAAGAGTATAATTTTCAGATTATGAAATCAAGATAGTTCATCTTGATGATGCTGGTTTATATCCAAGCTAGTTTAGCATTGAATACCTCTATTTAATGGCTAAACTATTGCTTATGAGAGCAAAGCCTCGTGTGTTGGTCTAAGATTTTCTAAATTACATACATCATCACTTGTATGTATCAGACCAACAAAATATGATAAGTCAACCCCTCACATGTGGTTTAGGATCAGAAACCAAGTATTTTTACTATCTAATAACTTTTGATGTGTGGTATATGATTAATTTCTCTACCACAATGCACAAAGATATGTTTCCCAAAGAAGATTGGGCATATGAGTTAGTTTTTCTAACATTTGGGGGATGGAATAAAACAGCTGAAAAATATGCTATATGAATCGAATTATCATTAATATGATCCTCGCTTAGAAGATAATTCAAGTCAAATGCCAGAAGCATTTGCTGATCTAAAATTAAATATCATATTTCAACTGCCAATGCTCCTATTAAAATTAAAGTTATTGAAGGATAAAGTTTACTGTACGCATGAAATGTGGTAGACCAATTGATTCCAAAGATAACAATCCTTGAAAAGAATAGGAGCAAATGATCAAAATGATCATAATAAGGAGAAAATGAGTTCTAGAAGAGCCCACGACATAACATTTTATAAAACTCCAGAAGAAGTTCAGGTACCTGAAAATACAAAAAGTGATGAGATCTCAACAAGTTATATCGCTTGCGAACCGATACAAAATGATCGTCGGCGATATATTTGATACAATATAGTACACAATATTATAAATGATTGTGAGGATCGGACCCGTAGTCCAGACACCTGAAGATGTCATGCCATCTAAATGCAAGTCATAACCTATATGACTCATTTGATTAAGTCAAAATGAAGATCCCTGAAGGATTTAAAATGCTTGAAGCATATAATTCAAAGTCTCGAGAAATGTACTCAATCAAATTACAAAAATCTTTGTATGAATTAAAACAATCAGGGCGCATATGGTATAATCGCCTCACTGAATTGATGAATGAAGGTTATATAAATGATAGCATTTGTCCGTACATTTTTACAAAGAAAACAACATCAAAGTTTGTTATACGTGATGTTTATGTTAATGACATAAATCTCACAGGAACTCCAGAAGAGCTCCAAAGGGAAAAACTTTGTCTTAGTCTGCAAATTGAATATTTAGCAGATGGGATCTTTATCCATCAATCTGTCTATATAGAAAATATCTTAAAACGCTTTTACATGGACAAAGCACACTCACTAACTACACCAAATGGGTGTTCGATCACTTGAAGTGAATAAGGATCCGTTCTGACCTCCAAAAGAGGATGGGGAACTCTTTGGTCCTGAAATATTCTATCTCAGTGTAATTGGCGCACTTATGTATCTTGCTAATGCTAACAAAGGTGGCGCATATCATATTGGTTATGCAGATGCATGTTATTTATTCGATCCCCATAAAGTTCGATCTCAAATCGGGTATGTATTTACATGTGGAGGTATTGTCATATCATGACGCTTCACAAAGCAATCTATTGCTGCTACTTTTTTAAATCATGGTGAGATAATAGTTATTCATGAAGCAAGTAGGGAATGTATATGGATGAGATCAGTGATTCATTTTATTCGAGAAAAATGTGGGTTGGAATGTGATAAAAGACCCATAATTTTATACGAAGATAATGTTGCATGCATAGCCCAATTGAAGGGAGGATTTATAAAAGGAGATAGAACGAAGCACATTTCACCAAAATTATTTTACACACACGATCTTCAGAAAAATGGTGATATTGATGTGCAACAAATCCTTTCAAGTGACAATCCGGCCGATTTATTCACTAAATCTTTGCCAACTTCAACTTTTGAGAAGATGGTATATAAGATTGGAATGCGGAGACTCAAATATTTGAAACAAAGTTTTTATCGGGGGGAGTAAAATACGCGATGTACTCTTTTTTCCTTACTAAGGTTTTTTCCCACAGGGTTTTCCTTATAAAGTTTTTAATGAGGCGGCTAGAAATGCGTATTACTAAATATGTGTACTCTTTTTCCTTCACTGGAATTTTTCCCACTGGGTTTTTTCTAGTAAGGTTTTAACGAGGCACAATACCTTTTAATGAACATCCAAGGGTGAGTGTTATGAAAATAATTATTGTGGATGTCCATTTATTACCCCGCTATAGATAATCTTCCTGAAGAAGATTATCCATTTAGTACTCTGTTGAAGTTTATCTACAAGCAGCTGATGCAGGCAGGTTGCAAGCAGCTAAATGAAATAA